AACATTTCAATGCTAAAGTCAATTGTCTTTTAAATTAGGTTTAGATTTTAAATGGGTATTTCTAACACATAGAAATTCTATGTTCCAAGTTTTTCCCTATCGCTCCAACTACAGAAATATATACTTACACGCCTCATTGGGCCCAGGTTCGCATGTCAATATCACCAACATGTACGTGTTTGTGGCAGAAAGTAGTTAACATCTGTTGTTGTAAACGTCAGTTGGCTGTGCAAGACCATCTTTTTCAAGCTTTATAGCTTGCATACAGTACATACTGTTGTTTTTTTTTATATAGATGTGCATATATAGATTAAGAAGTATTATAAATAAATAGGTGTGTGATTAAATATAACTATATGTCAAGATTATTAGGCAAGTCGTATTTTTGAGGATTATTCTTATTATTGGGCCACAATTGTGTTCTCAATCAACCCAAACGCCTTCTTAATATCAAAGTTTCATATTTTTGGAAGTTGATATGTTTGTTTGTTTTTTTTAGATTAGGCCACTTTATGAGGGTGTCTGTGTTTGTAGGTAAATATTACTGTGCAGAATTATTAGGCAACTTAATTTAAAACAAATTTATACCCATCTCACTTGTTTATTTTCACCAATGTCACAACTCAAAATTCAGAAATAAACATTTGCGACATTCAAAAACAAACAAACAAAAAACATATCAGAGACCAATATAGCCACCTTTCTTCACCATGATGCACAAAAGCCTTCTATCCATAGGTTCTTTCAGTGTCTTGATCTGTTTGCGATCCACATTGCCTGCAGCAGCCACCACAGCCTCCCAGACACTGTTCAGAGAGGTGGACTGTTTTCTCTCCCTGTAGATCTCACATTTCTTGAAGGACCACAGGTTCTCGATGGGGTTCAGATCAGGTGAACAAGGGGGCCATGTCATTATTTTTTTCTCCTTTTACACTTTTTCTGGCCAGCCACGTATTTTGATGCGTGTGACGGAGCATTGTCCTGCATGAATATCATGCTTTTTCTTGAATGATGGCGACTTCTTCTGGTGCCACTGTTTGAAGAAGGTGTCTTCCAGAAACTGGCAGTAGGTCTGGGAGTTGAGCTTGACTCCATCATCAACCCGAAAAGGTCCCACAAGCTCATCTGTGATGATACCAGTCCATACCAGTACCCAACCTCCACCTTGCTGGCGTCTGAGTCGATAAGGAACTTGCTGCCCTTTACTGATCCAGCCTGGTGCCCATCCATCTGGCCCACCCAGACTCACTCTCGTTTCATCAGACCAAAACACCTTGGAGCAAACATTCTTCAGGTATTTCTTGGCCCATTCTTGACGTTTTGTCTTGTGTGTCTTGTTCTAAGGTGGCCTTTTTTCGGCTTTCCTTACCTTGGCCAGGGCCCTGAGTATTGAGCATCTTCTGCTTCTCGGCACTCCAGACATGTTGCAGCTCTGAAATATGGCACACCTGGAGGCTAATGGCTTCCTGGCAGCTTCACCCTTGATCCTTCAGAATTCATGGGGAGTTATTTTGCGTCTTCTTTTTTCAACACGCTTCTTGCGCCCCTGTTGGCTATTTGCCATGAACCGCTTGATTGTGCAATGCTCCTTCTTCAAAAGCTTGTCAATTTCCAAACTGCTGCACCCCTCTGAAAGACATCTGACAATATTTGACTTTTCAGAGTCTGTCAAATCTCTTTTCTGACCCATTTTGCCAGAGGAAAGGAAGTTGCCTAATAATTAAGCACACCTTATATAGGGTGTTGATGTCATTAGGCCACACCCCTTTTCATTACAGAGACGCACACCACCTGATTTACATAATTGGTAGTTGGCTTTCAAGCCTATAGAACTTGGAGTGGGACAACATGTATGAAAAGGATGATGTGGTCGAAATACTCATAGATGTATACATCTTATCTTGTTTTGGAAATATTGCTACTGCTATTGCTGTTTTTTGTTTTTTTAATAATACATCTTGGAGCCCTTTACAAAATAACTGTAATCAGGGTCGGATTACATGACACGTTAAATGAGACATAACTGGACCATATTTCCTAAAATAGAAGAAAAAACATGTTTTATTATCCTTGCATTTGAGAAAAATACACTACCTTGTCCTCATTTGTAAGATAAAATAGAAACCAAATAGTTTTAGATTTGAGGGCGTAAAAACCTAAGTGTGCAAAAGCTTTGTGCATAACTTAAAAGGCCTGACAGAAAAATGCACTTTATTTTTTTGGGAATCCTTACAAAATGTTTTGCCTTTGTGACAAAGAATGTAAAAGCCTCTGGATCCATTAAATGAGATTTCTTCTTGTGGTTTAAGCACATAGTTGTTATAATTTATTTTTAACATGGGTGAAAAGAAATAAATGAACAAGGCCCTTTTTTCATACAAAATGAAACCAAGCAAATCTCAGAAAGCTGTGCTGTATGCCGTTGTTATGGAATCCAGCTCTTTTGTTCCACATATCACTGGTGCTGTAGCAACCTTCAAACTTGCTGTAATAAAAGTGTGAGAGTGAAAAAAAAATGCTCTTTTGCACTTAATCTGTTGCAGCCAAACAGACTTACGTAAAAGGTATCTTTTTTCTATAGCAGTTAGTCCTTGAGAATCAAAGCCAGCTGCCAGGAAAGAAAAAAATCTCTCTTTACTCCCATCAAGACTTCAAAAAATATCAGGCTTCACAGAAAATTGGACATAGCCTGTTTTTGACTGCAGACAAGTGCTGGAAATGGGGTCTCCAAAGAGGAGAGATACCTAAATTGTTTTGATTTGCCTGTTTTAGCACATGAAAAAATAGAATAATTTTGTATGTATTTTTTTCCCCATTGTATGTTTTATATTTTCGTTTTTTATTTAGAAAAGAAGTGATTGTATGATTTTTTTTTTTTTTTTTTTGGGGGGGGGGGGGGGGGGGGGGGTATCTAGATATCTTGCCACAGGAAATCATTCGTGTCTTTGGTCACCAATCACTTACAACGCGTCCCTGAAGTGATTCAGACATCCCCCGCCCATCTGTAATTGACATTTATTCATTCCTGCACTGTTTTTGCACAGCGTCACATGTAACTATTACGTTAGTGGATTTATAGTTATGCATATGCATATATATACATGTATAGATATATATATACAGTTATATACATTATGGGCCGGATCTATCAAAGGTTTGCGTGTATAAAAACGTGAGCTATTTCACTGCGCACGCTAAAAAATGTACAAACTGATCTATCAACAGCGTGCTAAAAGGATTTGGTCTTTAAAACGTGCTAAATAGCGCCTCTTATCCATTTAGTACTTTTTCTGCAATGAATATGCAATATGGGACGTTTACACGCAAAAGTGCGTCTTGTGGGAGGAGAACATGTAAATATATTAATTTAGCGCTCGCAAAGTGATTTATTAAACCTGAAAGCAATTTTGCTAACGGTATCTGACTCTATATTTAACACGTTTCAAAAGAAGGTGCAAATGGTCTGTATGCGTAATTGCGCACACATGGCAGCGGTTATTGTCGCAAGAAGGAGACATGGAAATGAAGCAAGGAGACGCAGAGAACGCATTTTTTCACTCCGTGTAAATATTTTCGCAATGAAGGAGGAAACGATCATCAAAACATATCGTTTATCCAGCATTGCCATTCTGGAGCTGTTGGGGGAACTCCGAATGGATTTGGAGCCAGCCACAAGGAGGACCCACGCAATACCAGATATCACAAAACTCCTTGCAACATTGCACTTTTATTACATCTGGGTCATTCCAGGGTACGGTTGCAGCGAGAGCTGGGATCTCCCAATGTCGTTTTTTCAGAAGAGCTGTCCGAAGTGCTGTCCGACGGGGTCGGGGTTCTCCCCCTGCGCCTGTGGAGCAACGTGCCAAATGCTGCAGGGATGCGTGCGCGCAGTAATCTCATCCGCAGTCACTTCTCGTGAGCCATTTGGTATGTGCATTTTTCTACAGGCCAATACAAAACACCTGTTTTTTTTTTTTTTTTTTTTTTCCTGCAGTGAAGTAGAAATTCAGCCACATACCACCTTAGGGAATAAAGGTTGGCAAAGTTTTTTTCTTTATATATATAATATAATATATATATATATATATATATATATATATATATATATATATATATATATATATATATATATATATATATATATATATATATATATATATATATATATATATTTTTTTTTTTTTTTTTTTTTTTTTTTTTTTTTTTTTTTGTTGGGTGTCACTGTAAGATTACAATTTCTTAATGCACTACTTTGTACAAACTACAAACTACTTTGCCGCAAACCACAAAACGCGCAAAACCATCATTTAAATAGGGCGTCTCCAACAGTTTTGCACCTGCCACCAGTTACTCAATCACTCTTGTTAAATCACCCGCAAACCATGGTTCAGCCCCTCGCGCAAAATTCCAGTTTGCGAGCGCAAGTTACTGCACGCAAAATTGGATCTTGATAAATCCGGCCCTATGTATATATTCGTATTTATATTATTTTGTGTGGTTTATATGTTTGTATATCTGGAGCGTGTAAAAAAAGTAATTTCCCTCCAGGATTTTTAAAGTATATCTGATTCTGATTCTGATAAATTGAAAGCATTTCTGAAACATTGTAAATCGTATATCAGTTCAGCAGGTGGCAGCACAACATAATCTTTAATTCCACCTTGCAATTTTGACATCGTCACAATCACAAATTCAGTTTATGATATTGTTTTTAATAAGGTCAAATGATTACAATTACCTTATAGTTATTGAAGTGTAATATCAAAGGTTTAATATGTTTAATATTCTCCCTCTTAAATAATTGGCAACTGAAATTGTTCTGTTTTGTTGTTTGCCCTCTGCTGTTTGATCTGTTTTTTTTTTTTTTTTTTTTTTTTGGGGTGGGGATGGGGGGTCATTTTGTGGATGTCATGGAAAAGATGCTGTCCGAGATGCAAGCCCCGCCCCCTTTGAATGTACTTGATTTAATAGGAGCTGGTCTCCCTTCGTCACGCTGCAGCTGCTTCCTGCCCGCAGCGCTGGAGACTTTGATGCGTTCAGAGTGAAGGAGCGCTGCTTGTGAGCGCATGTTACACCAGAAGGCTGTTTTGTTCAGACTGTAATTTTCGCCTGGTAATTTATTTGATGGCTTCAATTTGATGTACCCCATCGGACCCAATGTTTCCATTTGGACTTTCAAAGTAAGTGAGGTCACTATTTTTACTTTTTTTTTTTTTAAATCTCCCTCTTTTATAAATATTTTCTGTATATAGATAAAGTACAGTTTTCATGGCATCTGTAAAATCCACAAGTTCTAACAGTAAAGCTTGGAAGTCAAACAAAGTCATAATTAAAGGTTTGAGGTAAGCAAAATTATAGCAAATCTTCATGGAAACTGTTTCCCAAGCTTCAGATATTTTGTCATCCGAATAAAATGAAGACATGAAGTGTGGGATGACAGAGGACAGTCTGTTGTTTCCAATATAAACCCTAAAACAGTTCAAAAGAGATTATCAATGTAAACTCACATGGCAAAAATAGAGAACCTGTCTCAGTGTGAGCTTATTTCATGCTGAGGATGTAGGTGTGTGTGATGGTGAATGTACAGAGATCTTATCATGGTTCAGCATCTCATCTTTGTTGCATATTGTTCAATGATAAAAGTAGGATTTACCTTAAGAATTGTGTTACAGCTCACAGTAAGTTTAGGGAGGAATTTAGTAATGCTCTGACAACACTCACTGTTTTTGTGTAAATGAACAATGATGACATATAGTTTGGTTGCAAAGTTGGGGTAGGCTCATCATGAATGGGAGTGAAATTTATATTCACGGATTTAAATCATGTATTTTGAACCATTTGTCTATTATTTTGTTTGAGCTGTTTTATAGCTAAATGACAGAATCACAACAAGCTTGCTTTTACCCGATAAAATATGCCTTAGCAAAGTGCACTTCAGTCTTACCTGAACTTGTATGGACTCGGCTTTTAAGCATAACCCTTACATTTCTAACTAGATTTAACTACCTGTAAATCTGATTATGTTATCCACTGTGTTCAAAGTACCAGTGACAGCACAACAAACCCACAGCACTATGGTGCCACCACCATGCTCAAGATCTTGCAGCTTTTCTTCTTAGTTCAAAAGCCTTATGTTGTTCCTACCAAACATTCTTCACTTCGTCATAACAAGGTAGCTCAGTCCATGAGGTTTCTCCAGATGACACTTAGCTCATCCACAAGGATGCCTGCAAATCATATTTGAAGGTCTTATGGTGTTCTAGATTGGCCCAGTTCATCACAGTGCAGTCATCTGTGAGTGACAGCTGTGTCAGATGTCTAAAACCTGATCATAATTGAAATTCCAGACAATGAAATAATACTGAATTGTTGTTAAAACTGATTTTAAGATGGCTATAACAGCCCAACATTAAACATCTGGCATAGCCCTATACCTCAAGCATGTTGGAAAATCTATGGCTCATGATTATGATCTAAAGCCTGATTATATAAACCGTACCAAATCAGAGAAGAGCAGAACTGGTATATTTAAACAGAATCTTTCAATATAAAAAGGTTCAAATCATTCATAAGCCATTAAAAAAATCCTCCCTATTACAAACCAAAAAACACCAAACACCAAAAAATTTAATTAATCTTCAATTAAAGGAATATATGCCAAGTGTCATTCCTGATAGTATTTACTTAGTCATTTTTGATTCTGAAATACTTTTTTGCAACAGGGAGAAACATTGTTGTGCATCATCTGCTGTCAGTACTTACACCTCCATCAACCTGTCAGGGAAATCTAAAGGCTTCTGCAGCTTTAGCTCAACTTAAGTGAACAGAAATGTTCATTTTACACAATGAACACTACTCAAGTCTTGTATTTCTTGGCATCAGACATTTCTTTGCACGTTTTCACACTTGGTCTTGGACGTTTTCTCTTTCTTTTCATACCTCTGCTGGGATTTGCTGACTTGCTTCACTATTACTTCCCTGTTCATTCATTGCATGTAAGCTCAATATTGTACCCCCCGTCTCGTGGTTCGACTATACAATGAAATTAGTTTACAAAACAATCAAGCATAAAGAAAGTGTAAAATATATAAGGTTAGTGTAATAAGCCAACAGGGCACATTAATCTAATTGGAAATCTGGTTAGTATAGCAAATGCAGTATGCTGCTAGTGTAAAAAAAAAAATTAAAGCCATAGTACATGACTAGAGCACTATAAATCTGAGACTGTGAAAAATGTGACTAATCTGTATACGGAGGTGTTTGTGGTGCTGTTACTAAGTTATTAATTGTGTAGAATCCCCACCGCAGTCTTGGGCTTTGTGTCAACAGGGGGGGCTTACCAGGTGTTGTTTCTGTTCAGACATGTTGTGGACTTCAGGACATGTTTTTTGTTATTCAGAGGAAAAGTGTGCCTCAGGAGAAGGGTATTTATCTATATATATATATATTAGCTTTTTCCCTATTACACGTTTCAACAAAAACTGATGTAATCTATAGAAAGGTTGTAATAGGTCGACACATGCACAATGGTGCATAACTGATGATTTTAAAAGGTTTAAAGAAATATTGTGAATATTTTTTTTAGACAGGATGTAAAATAGTGTTTACGGTGAAAAACCAACACTGATCATCAACATATGATCTCCATAGTAGAATATGTTAGAGGAAGAATCGTACTTTGGGGTTTCTGTCCTTTCTCTAGCAGACACAAGGAACCCTAACCACAAAGCTGGGGCTACAATGTCATGGTTTAGAAGCAGCTATAGCCACCCCAAAAATGGTGGAAAATCTGCCATTAACTGTCAAACAGGCTTCTTTCCTTTCTGAGTTTAAAAATCTCCCCTCAAATATATGTACTAAAGCCTTTGGTCCATCTCGATAGGTTTACTCTTTATTTATCCAGTGCTTCATTTAACCTATAAGATCCAAATATTTTTATAACGCGACAAATTGTGATAAAGCTCATGTTGTATGACACATTTTTAGATCCCCCACCTGCTCTCATCCCAGAGGTTTTTCTCTCCTTATCCCAGCATCAAGTTGAACAGACAACTTGAGGGTTTTGCAGAAAATGAATCAACAGAATCTGAAGAATGCTGTAAAAGAGAAATTCAGTCGAATTTCATTCAAACATACTTTATTAATCCCAAATGGAAATTAAATGTTGCAGTAACTCACAGGGTTTTTGTTTTTTTTTCATCGGGTTGTCGTAGGTGTTGATAGCTGTAGTCAGGGAAGGATCTGCTGTATCGTCTGTCGTACACCAGATTTGGAGAAGCCTCTGACTTAAGATACTTTGTTGTATAAAAGTCTTCTGAAGAGGATGCTCACTGTTGTCCATGATCTTCTTCTTCATTAAGAATTATTCTGGGTCAAACTAACGGTGAAGAGGTGCTATAGAATCCCATTGAGCTTCTCTGCACATGCCTTCAGGACTCTGGGGCTGACACCATAAGGACCTGATGGTTATTACGATTGTGATTCAGTCTCTCCAGTTGCATCTACATTTGACTTCTAGGGACAGAAAGGTGAAAAGTGGAGGGAGCAGAGTCATCATCTGATTTGGATGAAAACAAACTCATAGAAACAGGAGAGTCAATGGCAAAGGAAGGCAGGATGTTCATGTGACTGCGGGCAGGAGAGAAAAATGCTGAGCTTGTTCCTGAATTGAACCTGTTGAAGAATTTAATCAGTTCATTTGCTCTCTCCAGACTTCCATCTGTCTGATCATCCATCTGCTTTAAGCCTGTGATGTTCTTTATTCCTGAATCCTGATATTTTTTGTGTGGACTTAACTTCTCCAACCTGTAGCCACCTTAAGCAGTGTAATTCTGGAATGAGATTTCGAGTAGTTATATTTCTACATCAGAACATGACATATCAATAGTCTGACTTCACTGTTACTTTATATGTGCCTTCACTGTTTATTTTTAGTCTCAGTCTAGGAGGACTTTCTGTAGCTTTGTGGGTCACCTGCTGTGTGTTGTTCTCACCCTGTGAATTCTTGGTGCTACAGATTGCACTCTCTTTTTTTAAGCTAGATATTTATTAACAGAACAGAGATAAAAGAGGATGTAGAAACAAGCTGCAAAGGACAAATGCTTTTAGCTATTCAGGCACACCATTTTGAATTATACAGAGGTATGCACTGCTATGCTCCACAGTCCTTTGAATATCTGCCAAGTAAAAGGTGAATAATGCAGAAAGAGGATTAAAAAAACAACTTAACAGCTGAACTTAGCATGTGGTAGGTGTTAGTTCTCTCCTTGCATGGGCAGAAGGACTACGTAAAGTAGCAAATTGGTTGCATTTTGAAATATATTCATGTGATTTGAAATATGCACTAAAGGAACTACATTATTTGATCTATTATTAATCATGCGCTATTCAAAGCCAGGTTTGCAAGTATATTTTTTGTTCTTTGGGCTATTTGTACAGAGAATAATATCAGTTTAATAATAAATACATTGAATGAAGTGAAGTCACATGACAGGCAATTTGTCTCTTCAGCCTTCTCTTGGCTTTGGAGAGGCTGAAGGGTGCTTTGGGGTGAAAAATATGCATTTTTTAGCTGTCTATTTTTTATTGACTTATTATTTGTTAATTGGAAAATAGCATCATAAATGTTAAAGGACACAAAGCCAAAAATCCAAAAAATAATAACTCAAGGGACGTGCATTCAAAATATCAACTTCAAATGCTTTATGTAATATTCAAATACAGTATAGCTGGTTGGTTAGTGGTGTCAGAGAATGTCAAAGTAAAAAAAAAAAATTGTATGATTTAAAACATGCAAATTTTCTAAGATACCAGAAAAAATTTTGTCAGGTTCAAAACTCATCAGATGAGCTATTCCACCAAAAGAAACCCTTGCAATGCTCTGAGCATTGCAGCATTTTGAGGTGAATGTTGATGCTACTTTAAATTCAGTAGCAATATATACTGATCATAATCATGTTGTCTATTCCCATAACCAGCAAGTGAGGTGTTGCTCACTGTTTTGGGTTTTTGGGTTTTTAGTGATTGTAAGCGATTTAATCCTTGTGACTATGAGTTTTCTGTTTTATTTCTGAGCTGTCCGGCTCAAGTCAAAGAGGGAGCTTAAGTTTTCTTTTGAAAAAAAAAATCCCTTTAAGCTCTAAAAGGCCAGTTAATTTAAGTTAAATTGTGACTTTCTAAC